CCATGCCCACTGCCCACGTCCCTCAGTGCCACATCCCCACGGTTCTTCAGCACCTCTATGGATGGTGATCCCACCACCTCCCTGGGCATCTGTGCACCTGTATCTTCACTCTTTTTGAGAATTTTTTTCTTCATATCCAACCTGGACCACCGCTGGTGCAACTTGAGGCCACGCAGAAGCTATCAGAGTAATCTTCACCCTCCCCAACCCAAGCGCAAAGTCCTGAAGCAAAGCATATTTGGAGAGCATGGGACCCAATTTCTTTTTTCTGTGTGACTTAAGAATGTTTTGTTAGGGATCACCTGTTGTAGTTGTTGTAGGCTGAGCTATTGACAACAAAATTTCTTTAATTACAAAATCTGGGCCACCTCCCACAGGGGACAGAAAACCTTTATGAGACACCAATATCATATGGCTTGTACACAGCCTCACATTTTCATTTATTCCTTACCCACAGCTTGGTGAACTGCCACAAAGAGGAGCACAATGAAAAAACAAAGGATTTTCATGGCAGAAGACGGACTGGGAAATCCTGTCACTGCAGAGAAATGACACTGAGATGTTAATAAGTGGTGTCCACCTACAAACACAATGGGCTGAGGAGTGAAGGACAGAAATTGTCATGGAGAATCAGATAGAATACTCTTTCTTCATTATTGTGTACTTTGCCTTAGAGGTTCCATAGGTGACACATAGGATCATGGCACAGGAAGAAGCTTCTGTGCAGAACAATACAATTTTAAATCTACCTTTTAATTGCTATGTTAATTAAGTACGTTTATCCTAAGTTGCTCGATATGTTGCAGTACACTGCAATAAATTCAATTTGCCTTGTGCAGGTTGTTAATTCAGAAACCAAAACATGATAGTTCTTATTATATTCATGCAAGGCAGCACAAAGCACATTTTCAAACCTTTCTAAAGCAAGAGTAGAGAAAGAGTCATTAAGATTGGAAAGACAGTGAAGGTCATCTAGTCCAACCATCAACCCATGCCTGTGACCACTTTTTTGTTCACTTCCAGAATTGATTTCCTCTTAGATCTCCTTCTGCAGCCAACAAAAATTCTTCTTTCTAATCAATATTTGCCTAAACTAATCCTTGATGGACTGAGTCACTGCATGGTTAAGGCTGTGATGACAGAGTAAAGCAGCTATCCACGGAAGATCTGAAATCTCCAGCCATTTTCAGAAGGACAGAGCTGTAGAAGAGAGGCTGAATAATGAGAAGATGTGGGTCATTACCACGAAAGAGGAGGCTCTGGGTTGGAGTAGTCCTGCAGATCAGCGTCAGCCGCCCAAATGCATTAAGATGGAGGAGCAGAGCGTGGCTCTATGTGGTTTCTGGAGGCTGGGAAGGATGCTTGCTCTTCTTCTTCTTCCAATCAGAGATGTCTGCAGTTTCGGGGACAGTCGAGGTGCCGTTCAACAGATCTTCTCTGTTAGCATCCTCCTGTAAGGTATTGCTTTCAAAATATTGCAGCATCGCCTCAAGAAATGTGCTGAGCTGCCTGCAAAACGACCTTGGGACCTCTGTTTGTGCAACGTTAGACCACAGCGACTTGCTCAAGGTTTCTGTCATGCCAACAGGTGGGCTTTGTGGTCAGCGGGAGCAGTGCTAGTTATTATTACTCAATTTAATTGCTTGTTTAACACAGAAGCATGTGCTACATCACTGCACCAGGTTTATCTCCAGGCCAAAAGGCAGAGTCTGGCCATGTCCGTGCTATTAACCTCAGCCTCCACCGTGGAGTGGCTTTGCCTCAAGTGCCTGCTGGAGATGGTCTGAAAATAGATAAAGACCACGCTTCCTCATCAGAACGTTGTTGGTGCTTAAGGAGAAACTCCTGCTGGGATTTGTTTGGTCAATGAAATAACTGCCCAGCTCATTGGTAACACTCAAATGCACTTGACTGAGTTTTGGGTGGGATCCTGGGCAGCTTGGTCTGGTGGGAGGCAGTCTACCCATGGCAGGAGGCTGGGAGATGGTCTTTAAGGTCCCCTCCAACATGAGTCGTTCCATGACTGCTCTCATCAAAACCCAAAGCACGTTGCTGCAGAAAGCAAAATTAATTCTTAGAGCTGGAAATCATAGAATCACCAAGGTTGGAAAAGACCTCCAAGATCACCCAGTCCAACCGTCCACCTACCAGCAGTATTTCCCCACAGCTTTGTAACGAGGAAGCACCGTCTCCAGCTATTTTCATTGTTTTACTCTACGAAGGTAAGAAATAAGTCACCGTAAAATGAAGTACAATAATCCAGTCCCTGCCTCCATACACGGGTTAAGATTTCCCATTTTGCCCCTCAGGTGGAACTGCCAATTATGATCGTGTTGTCTGTGAATGTGGCAACAGCTTTCTGAGCCACAACTTCACCACCCGTGCCAGCAATTTTATTATCACAGAATGGTTTGAGTTGGAAGGGACACTTGAAGGCCATCTAGTTCCAACTCCCTGCAGTGAACAGGGACACCCACAGCTCAATGGGTGCCCAGAGCCTGGCCCCAAGCATTACATTGCCAGGGATAGAAGCACATGCCCCTGAACATCCTCCTACACCACCCCCATCACGACTCCCCCCCTCACACTTTCCACGTGCTTAGAGAAATTCCTGCTTTTTCTCCAGGGATCTGTTGTAAGAGCATCTTCACCCTCCTTTTCAGGCCTCTTTCACTCCTATTTGAGGCAGACCTGCCACGTTCTATGGGACTTACTGTTCTCTGTCAGCCCTTTGCTCACTGCTGAGCCCATCCCTATGTGAGCCCCCCCTAAGCTGCCTTTCATGCCCTGTGGGGATTTTTCTTAGACCTCTTTGTTTTCTTTTTGAGTCAAAGCAAATATTTTACCGAGGTCTCCAGCACAGCCTTTTTTTAACAGCTTACAGGCTGCCTGCAGGCTTCTTGCTCCTCTTGGCTGCTTCTTTCGGTGCTTTTTTGCACTCATTTTTGCTTCTTTTTGAGACTGGATATTCACACATTAAATACATATGATCTCATTGTGCAGTTAAAGTTAACTGTACCGTGGTTGTTGTTACAGAGAGGCTCTCTGACAAACAGCTTCTGCATTAGCTCTTTTGCACCACTCACTCCCAAATCCAGAAGAAACTTTCCCTGGAGGTGCCAGGATGGCTTTTTTCCATGAATCAGCGTTTTGCATCAAACATACAATCTCTACACCCTCCCAATACCCTGACCCACCCCTCACAACTGCTCCGAGCATCATGCAGCAGGGGTGACCCATTCTTTGGGTCCATCGGGGAGGGACTGTTTCTCCAACCTCCCACTCAAGTGCTGACAAATATTTGGGTGTATGGCAACACACTGGAGTGGCTCAGCAGGTGGGGGCCAGCTGGGTCCATTTGACATCCCATCTGTAGGCTCCCTTTTCCTCTGTCACCTCCTGTCCTATGTAGGGGACAGTGCTAATGGGGACACGTGGCTGTGCAGTTGGCTTTGATGCTCGCTGTTGTTCTCATGATACCTCCATGCCCCCCATCTTGCCAAGTTAAAGTTTTCAAATGTTTGAGGTGTTTCCAGTTTAATATAGCCCAAATCTTACAGCATCCATCTTTCCAATCAAGGGAATCCACCTGAGTTGAGTGAAAAAAGAGATTGTTCCATACCTGCCCCATCATAGCCACAACGTAGAGACTCACATTTCTGGGTTGTGATGGCCAGCAGCAGTTGTGTACTGCACAGAGGGATCTGCTGTCCCCACGTGTGGTCATATTTAAGAAAGATATTGCATGCTCTTCTCTTAAGAGTACCTGCACTTACTCTGGAAAGGGATAAACAGAATCAGACATCAGAGCAGAAGACTCAAGATCTTCCTTCTCCTTCTGGCAGCAGACGAGGAGGCAATGACCTTTCTGACACATCCCCAGTTCATTCCCCAGGTTCTTCATCTGTTCATGACAAGCTGGGATTCTTGCATTGCCTTTAATGCCCTTGATTTCCTAATTGCAGTTGTTATACAACCACTGTGGAGTCTCATTCACAGCTATTCCAGCAAACCAGCCCCGTGAGAGTCACCACACCTTTTTGGCATCCCACCAAATTCCTGCTTTTTTGGCTATAATTATTTCTTCTTCCTGAATGAGAGGAGTTAACCTTAATCCTGGGTGGAAGAGCGTGGCATAATCAGAACAGCAGGAACATTGTGTTTGTTTAGCTGCCTCCTGCAGGCCATGCATGGCCCAGTTCACAAGCACGAAGGACTTTCCAGTCCCTAGATGGAGGGAGTGATTAAGGTTCAAATAGCACCTTTGGGCTCGGAGAACCTGATTATTATTAATGACTGTTTCTTTGGTAGTGGCAAGGTGCTGTGCAATAGCACCAAGTGCAGCACACGTTTATTCCAGGTTGAATAAATCTGAACTCCCCAAATGCAGAGTTGACCAAACCCTCTCCTGACGTGGGCCTGCATAAGGCATGACCTAGAAAACCTTTCCCGAGTTCTGTAGGTGCCCATGAGCTGGATGTGGCTGGATGACACAGAATCATAGGATCACAGAATGGCTTGGGTTGGAAGAGACCTCAGAAACTATCTAGTTCCAACCCCCATGCTATGGGAAGGGTTAAGAGTGCATCCCAATACTGCAAATATCACATACCAGTAGTGATCCCAACCCCACATCATTCCATCAGAAGAGAGGTGGACAGCAGGGACGGAGATGTGTGGATGCCCCATCCACCCCTGGAGGTGTTCAAGGCCAGGTATGAAATGTGGAGGTTGGTTGCCTGCAGCAAGGGGTTGGATCTTCATGATCCTTGATGCCCCTTCCAACCCAAGCCATGCTATGATTCTATGATTCTATGATTCTATGATTCTATGATCATTCCCAACAGCTCCACAGCCACCATGGGTAGGGCTAAGGGGAACATACAGCCATAGACCTCAGAAACCAGAGGGATCAAAACGCACCTCACCAATTAATGGTTTAAAAAGCCTAGCATTATTAACTGTGGTTTATTAGATATTTACACAAGTCAAATAATTTGCAAAGTAGGCTCTTTGAATGCATGTTACAGAAGAGAAAAAGGGCACAAACCACTTCTATTTTGTAAGGCTGAGCTATTGTTCAGAGCCTGCAGAGAGCAGAAGACTTCAGTGTCCAGCTGGGTCCCAACAGAGGGCAGGTGGGAGTTGGCCATGATGGAAGATAAAAGCCTTCAGATTTTACAGACATTTAAAAGGGGAAGTGAGGAAATGTGGGGTCTAAAAGAAAAGAAGAGAGATCCTACAGCGAAGAATGAAAGATAAGGGTGATATCTCACATTCACACATCCGTTCAGAAAATACTGCATGAAGAAGGTGGGCAGGTTAATAGACACGAGCCTCCTAAATACGATGTGGCCCTTGGGGCTTTATGGGCAGCTGTCACAGGAAAGTTGAGTGTGAGAGATCTGCATGGCATGGGACACATGGCACTGCCCTTGACACAAGTAGGAAATTCACACCAAGAAACATCTTTGGAAAAGAGGGGAGTGGTCCCATTTCAGGCACACAGCTCAACCCTGCCTTGGTGATGGTGGAGGGGCAGCATGCAGGGGATGAAGAGCACAGCGATTCCCCAGATATGGATCCGTGAATAAAGAGCAGATGTGAGGCTTCCTGCCAAAGTGCCTTTCCCAGCTCCAGGTATAGCAGCACCCCAAACAACAGCATGGCCACGTAGGGAAGGATGATGTTACATACTGCTGTCACTGCTAATGACACTACCAAGGCTACCAGCTCAACACAGACCATGGAATGTCACCAAAAGGGTCTGCAGCACTTTGCCAGTCCGTTGTAGCAGGTACCAGTGGATCTCTTGAAGAAAGGACACAGCAAGAATGAACACTTGCCCTTCATCTTCCGACACGTGACAGTGTCCGACTCTGCAATGGAGGAAAAGAACCTGTGAGACTCTTCCATTGGAATTAAATCTGGTCCCCATGCTACCAGCTCAGCCTGCAGGTAGCACAGGTCAGTTCAGTAAGAGGAATGTGAACTCACTGTTGAGTTTTGCTGCAATGTCTGAAAGAATCCATGCAGATTGTGAAGTTCTCCCCCTTAAGCCCCCAAAAAGTGCCAACTGGAGTTTGCCTACTCAGCATTCACCTACCAGACCCAGCACCAAGCATCACATCAATATGTTCATAACAGAACATAAAAAACTTCCCAAACATAAAAAAAAAAAAAAATGACCTTTGATTATATTTACACTTACCTGGAGCAGCCTGGGGTACTGCCAGCAGAACAAGAAGCAGGAGGAATATGCTCGTGGCTTTGGCTGACATTGTCGTGTCACCCTGAAGCTGCTGAGACCAAGAGGAAGGAATGAACCTCTCTTTATAAAGCTCTGTTCAATGTGTGATCACCAGGGATTTAGCAATCTTATAAATAACAGGTTTGAAGGACGTGTGTCTTAACCTCTAATTACAGCTCCTGTGTGGATGCATAGCACAACATGCCCCACCCCAATAAGCCTGCAAAAATGGGGCAGACATCCCATGCCACTCCATCCCATGCCAGCCCATGCCATGCCATGTGCAGAGGTGATTTCAGCACTGTCTGTAATTAGTTTCATTGGAGTGGCGTTTTAGCATAACAAAAGGAAAAACGGGCTGTAGGCCATGCAACACTTTCTTTTTTTTTTTTTTTTTTTTTTTTTTTTTTTTTTTCATTCAGGGGATGCTTAAATGCAAGCCCTGGAGGATGCAAAGTTCTTCCATAGTTGGTAAAAATTAGTGCTGGAGACAGAGATCCCAGTTACACTCCTAAAATCAGAGCTTGGCTCCCCAGCCAGCAGCACATCCCTGAGCACACAGATTGGGGTCACTGTTCATATGCAAGAATCAAGAGGGAAGCATAGGGCATGGCGAGACAGGCATTACACACTGGGTGTCTATAGAGAACTCTGGAAACAGAGTTGGATGACAGACTGCTGCTTAAACCAGCAGAGTCCAGGCTTAGTTCCAAGGGTTGCCAAGAAACTTGCTAAAGTTAAAAAAAAAAAAAAAAAAAAAGCAGAAGAAGGAGTTAAAGCCCTCAAACACGCTCATATGGGATGGCATGGCATGGCATGGCATGGCATGGCATGGCATGGCATGGCATGGCATAGGGTGGCATGGCATGGCATAGGATGGCATGGGATGTCAGGACATGGGATGGCATGACATGGAATGGGATGGCATAGAATGGAATGGAATGGAATGGAATGGGATGGGATGGGATGGGATGGAATGGAATGGGATGGCATGGCATGGAATGGATTGGGATGGCATGGAATGGGATGGCATGGCATGGAATGGGATGGAATGGGATGGCATGGCATGGCATGGCATAGCATGGCACAGGACGGGGTGGGATGGGACAGGATGAGATGGGATGGGATGGGATAACTCCTGATAGCCCAGTGGATCCACTGAGCTTCGGGAGCATCCCGCATGATTTTCCAAAACCACTCACAAAGGCGTGGACGCTATTTGGACTTCATTAACAGCCATCTCTTCCGACGGAGGGGAGGAAAAATAACGCAACTGATCTGTGGCAGCACCGCACTCCGTGCCCCGGCTGCCACCTAGTGCTCAGTCCCGCGGGGACAACAGGGGACATCAGGACGCGCCAACCATCCCCACCGTCCACGGGGGGCCCCAAAAAGCC